AGCCATCAATGAGAGCTCCACAGTATGTCATTAATTTATACTCTCAAGAGAATTATGATACTCAGCCTCAACAATAAAGAAATAAAGGAAACTGCAAGTAATAGTAAACTCATAATCCTAAATCTTATCAGTATAGTAATTAAGAATTCCTGCAAGCTAGTTAAACACTAAATATTTCAACCCAAGCACAAATTATATATATAATATATAATGTATTATGTATTTAATGTTTACGTATTTCTATTAAATTTTAATATGAAATATCTTTGATGGAAAGAACATATAAATATTCATATGGGTGTGCCTATACACACACCCACGTACACTTTAAAAAATTACAACTCAAATAATTCACGATTGTACTTCAAAGCCAAAGTGAGTATAGAAACATGAGAATCTGCTAAAGCATTGGTATAATTTGAAGAGCTAATATTGGGCATTTAAGCCCAAACTGTGCTGATGTTGTCAATAGTATAGACCATTGTATATACTGATATATATCAATAGTACAGTCCATTTGTTTTATTTCACCAAATTTTACATCTCTATGTAACTAGCACAATCCCCCAGATTACTGAAAAGGCATAAGACTGGCATATAAAAAAGATGACTTAGTAAAATTACAAAAGATTATTGAAACTCATACCTAAATTTTGATCTATGCAAGAAATTGGCCATAGTGTCTGTAGTAGGCTGAAGAACATAGCCCCTCCGCCAGATGTCCTCACCCCTGAAATCTGAGAGTATGTTACTCAGCAAGAAAAAGGGGCTTTTGCAGATGTGATTAAGGATCTTGAGATGGGAGATTATTCTGGATAATTGGGTTCTGGAAATTATTCTTGGAAATTGGGTTCTGGATCCGTCCGGTGTAACCAAAGGATCCTCCTAAGGGGAAGGTAAGAGGGTAAGATGCAGAGAAGGTGTAAGGCTGGAGTCAGAGGCCACAGAGCAGAGAAATTGTTCCTCCGCTGCTTTCAGGATGGAGGAGGGACCCTGGGATGAAGTGGAGGCAGCCTCTAGAGCTAGAAAGGCAGGGAAACCGATTCCTCCCCAGAGCTTCCCCAGGAAGCAGCCAGATGGCATGGGGTTTAGCCCAGTGAAACTGACTTTGGATTTATGACCTCCAAGTTGTAAGAGAATAAATTCATGTTGTATTAAAACTCATATAGAAAACAAAATCACAACAGATTAATAGTAATTACGGCAATAATGTGGATCTCATGGTCATTTGAGATGGTTTCTTAATTGCACAGGGTTTCTAGTTTCACAGTGCAATCCTCTCGCGTTGTTTTTATTGTGGCTACTGTTTTAAAAAGTAGAAACTTCCTGTACTTAAGGTGTGAATGACTCAGAAGGTGACATTTCACTAATGACTCCTCTAAGACACGGACAACGATGGATGCATTGCCTTCACCGATGACCCTGAGAAGCTGTACTTTGAAAATGACATTAGAGTTGTGAAAAAAAAAAAGCTGTGTGCTTTTGTTTACAGGAAAGAATGTTACTTCCCTTAGTGGAGTAATGCGTATTTTATCTTCGCATATAAATTCTCACCTGTCTCCTATTTAAACATAGATAGTTAATTAGGCTATTGGCCAGGATCTAATAACTTCAACATTTGGGCTTAACATGATGCAACACCTTACCTACGAGGAAACGTCAATGAAGCTTACACACATTTCACTAATGAAATCCTGCCTCCCTTGTGGATGGAGTTCCCCTGGAAGGCTTTTCGTTTAAATCATATGCAAAGAAATGCATGTGACTAAAATCTGGATCCAAGCAATGACTCCTGGTGCCAAACTGAGAAATCATAAATTTCTAATAGAAAGCAATGGCTTTTGCTAGTATATTGACACTTTCTTATTGTGACATAGTTTTCTCACAGGAAACAGTTATACTATCAGGGGTTTTCTGTTCCCCAAAGAGGATCCTTAAAGAATGGAATGAGCCTCCCTGTGCCCTGGGGTGGTTTGGTGCATTGCCACTTCTCTGCCTCTAGGTATATCCTCCCACTTTATCTTTCCCGATGTTTATTTTCTCCGGGTGTCTTTTTAGATTCCCAAGTAGGCCCTGTCTATCCCACTGTTTTGCTTCTATTCAGGGTAGAGTAAGATGTCTCTAAAACCAAGCATTGAGTTGAAATGAACTTAACATTTTAAGCACAACCTCCTGTCGCTCCTTCACTCTCTTCCTAGGACACGTGGTGACCTGACCTTTGGGATGAAGCTGTAAGTAAGTGCTCAGTCTTGGAAACGGATGGCTGAGAACTTTCATAATAACGCCTCACCCAGCCGTGCGTGCGCTCATGTCCTTGACCTGGTCATGGATATTGCCACTTGCCCCTGGGGTTGTAAGAACCCTGAGGGCTGTGCCCACCTTTGCATTCACCCGTGCCCGGCCCACCCCTTTGCTAGGAGGACACGCACTGTGAATATGCTTGTTAGGTAACTCAAATAGCCGTGTGTGAGTGTGTGTGTGGTTTTTCCGTCTTTAACACTTGCAGGTTATCTGGTGAAATCACACCTTGCGGGACACTTTGGGACATACGTTTTCAAATGTGAGCTGGAAAACTGGACACTTTCATGCTTTTTTTTGTATAACTAAGTTAGATGGTGAATTTAAAAGGAAATTCACCCCACCTTTAGTACATTAAGAATATACGATACAAAAATAGACTCTACAGAAGAAGGGGGAGAGTTTCATTGTTTTTTTACGTGTTATATGTGACCTTGGCAGTGTTGCCTATTCTTGCCTAAACCTGGGTTTCTAAACTTTCTTGGGTCTAGGATTAAAGCCCTATAAGGTTAACGTGGTGAATGACCTTTCAACATCCCCTCCGTCCTGTCTGTACTTGATATCTACATGGCTTTGTGATGGCATGGCTGTCACTTTCCATGTATTGCTCATGTTCCTATGATGCCATCTCAACAATCTAGAGTTGTCATGCCTCATTGATTTCACTTGTGTGTCTTTGGGCTTCCTCTTTGAGCACATTTTCAGATTTCTTAACAGGGTCAATCATCTCTGACCCACAAATAAATCATTATCAATATGTTCATTTTAGGCAGAGACAAAATTATTTAAAGCAAATGTTTCCCTCATTACATATTTTTGGTAAATGTGATTAAAAAAAAAAAGTATGCAGAATGTACTTTTGGGAGGTCACATAATTGATAAAATTCACTTTTCTATCCACTAAAATGTTACCTTCTTAGTGTATAGTGTTTTTCGTTTTGTGTGTTTTTTATTTTTTTGATATTAATAAACATAGAATAGGACATTTTGTTTCTAACCCAAAAGGTATTACATTGTAAATATTGTCTAGAAATTGTTTCTTCTACTTAAAGTACCTCTGATATCTTTTCTGTTTCTAAAAATAGCTTTATTTAGATATAATTGAAAAGTAAAAATTGCATATATTTTAGGTGTATGTCTTGATGTTGTGATGCATGTATGTATTGTGAAATGATCACCATAATCAGGCTAATTCACATTTTTATTGCCTCATACCGTCATCATTTGCCGCCTCTTCTTGTTTGTTGTTATGGTGGGAACAGTTAAGATTTGCCCTGCCTACAAATTTCAAGTACACAAGACAGTATTAATAACTATAGTTATGCCACTGTCTGTTAGCTATCCAGACATTATTCATCCCGGAGAGCTGAAACTTTGTACTCTTTTGCCAGCTCCCCATTTCCTCCTCTGCCATCCCAGTGCCTCTTTGTTTGGAACTCTTTGTTTCTATGTGCACGACTATTTTAGATTCCATGTCTGAGTGAGATCATGCAGCATTTGTTCTTCTGTGGCTGGCTTATTTCACTTAGTATAATATCCAGCAGGTCCATACGTGCTGTTGCAAATAGCAGGTTTGCCTTTTTCATGGCTGAATAATATCCCACACACACACACACACACACACACACACACACACACACACACACACACACAGATACACTGCATTCATATATCCATTGATGAATCATAAATTGTTTACATGTCTTGGCTATTGTGAATGATACTGCAGAGAATGTGGGAGTGCAGATCTCTCTTGGAAATACTGATTTCATTTCCGTTGGATATATGCCCATAAGTGGGATTGCTGGATTATAAGGTAGCTCTATTTTAATTTTTTGAAGAACCTCGCACTGTGTTCCACAGTGGCTCTATCAGTTTACATTTCCAGCAGTGCACGTGTTTTTGCTTTTTTCCACATTCAGGCCAATACCTATCATTTGTCATACTTATGATAGCCATTCTAAGAGGTATGGAATAATATCTCATTGGGGTTTTGATTTCCATTTCCCTGATGATTAATGATGTTGAGCACTTTTTCAGGTATCAATTGGTCATTTGTGTGTTGTCTTTTGAAAAATATCTATTTATGTCCTTTATTTTTCATTGGACTACTTGTTTTTTGTTACTGATTTGTATGTGTTCCTTTTATATTTTGGATATTAACCCCTTATCATATATATGATTTACAAATATTTCCAATTCCATAGGTTGCCTTTTCATTTTGTGGATTGCTTCCTTTGCTGTGCAAAAGATTTTCAGTTTGATATAGTCCCAACCGTCTACATTTGCTTTAGTCACCTATGCTCTTGGTGTTGAATCCAAAAAAGTCATTGTTAAAACTGATGTGAAGAAGCTTTTTCGGAGACACAGAAGGGGCTATGGAGCATTGAGGATTAAGCTGGCTCCCTGGTTTGGGTCTTTCTGGTTTATACCTGAGCATCTCAGTCCACATTCCTACACACGTGAAGCCTGAAGGTCACTGTGGTGGGCGTTGAAATCTCTGCACCTGCACCTCCTACATTGGATTTCATTGTTACTGAATCTTCTATGACAAAGGACAGGAGAGGATGGTACTTTCAGCATTTCTAAGTCCTTCTTACTGAGTGTGGTGAAAGCAGAAAAAAAAGAGCTGTGCTTACACTTTCAAGGCACATTCTCATGATGTAGACATGACCCTTCAACATCTGGTCATCTGAGAAAACAACCCAGAGCAGGACCAGGAACAGGAACAGGACAACATGGCTGCTTCTCATGGACCGCTCACCTTCAGGGATGTGGCCGTATATTTCTCTCAAGAGGAGTGGGAATGCCTGGATCCAGCTCAGCAGAAATTGTATGTGGATGTGATGTTGGAAAACTACAGGAATCTGGTCTCCCTGGGTCTTGCTGCCTCTAAGCCAGTTCTGGTTGACTTTTTGGAGGAAATGAAGGAGTCCTGGGATGTGAAGGGAATAAAGACAATATCCATCCACCCAGCCATGTCACCTGAAGACAATCAGGATTTATTGAAAAAGTCAGGAATAGATGATTTGTTCTCTAAAATAATACTGAGTACATATAATGGAGACAGAAGTTGTAAATGCAATGAATATTGGAAAAACTTAAACCTAGAGTCAAATCCTAATAAACACTAGAGAACTCAGCTTTCAGTAAACCATTATGAAGGGGGAAAACTATCTGACCAAATGTCAATTCACAATAAATACCAGGTTATTCAAATTGTGGAGGAGACAAACAAAGTAAATGTGACAACTCATTTAAGCAATCTTCAAATCATATTGAACAAGAGAATATTTATATTCGGGAGTAAGCTTACAAATGTCATCTGTGTGGGAGAGTCTTCAGTCAAATATTCAATCACAATAGGCATAAGAAAAGATATGTTGGAGGAATACCTTACAAATGTAAAGCATGTGACAAAGGCTTTAAATGGCATTCATGTCTTACTATTCATGAGAGAATTCATACTGGGGAGAAACTTTACAAATGCAGGGAATGTAGCAAAGGCTTTAATCAGCTCTCATATCTTACCCAACATGAGAGAATTCATACTGGAGAGAAGTCTTATAAGTGTAGAGAATGTGGCAAAGCCTTTAGACAGTCCTCAAGTCTTATCAATCATCAGAGAACTCATACTGGGGAGAAACCATACAAATGTAAAGAATGTGGCAAAGCCTTTAGCCAGTCCTCAACTCTTGCTAAACATCAGAGAACTCGTAATTGAGAGAAACCTTATGAATATAGAGAATGTGTCACAGCCTTTCACTGGCCCTCAGACCTTACTGAACATCATAGAATTTATACTCAAAAGAAGCCTAATGAATTTAGAAAATGTGACAAAGCATTTAACCAGTGTTAAAACTTGATTGGACATCAGAAAATTCATATTGGAGAGAAGTTTTATAGATGTAAGGAGTTGGTAAACCTTTTGGCAGCACTCAAAACTTACTCAACATCAAAAATCTATACTGAAGAGAAATTTTAGGAATGTGAGAAATGGAGGAAATTCTCTAAATGCCATTCATGTCATACTGTACATGAGAGAATTCACCCTGGAGAAATATCTGACAGATGTAATAGGTGTAGTAAAGGCTTTCATTGGCACTGGGATCTTACTAGACATCAGATAATTTATTTTCAGGAGAAGCGTTACAAATATGGAAAGTGCTACAAAGCCTTTTTATGTCACACAGAAATTAACCTCAGAGAATTCAGAGGAGACAAACGTTACAAGTATAGAGAATGTGGCAAAGTCTTTCATCCCTATTTAAAGATTGTTCATCATCAGATTATTCATAGTGGAGAAAAGTTTAAGAGAGGTAAAGGAATGTGGGAAAGTCTTTTCTTGGCATTTGCAGCTTCCTAAGCATCAGTTAACTCAGTCTAGAGAAGCCTTAGGAATGGAGGAATGTGGCAAACTTTCCATTATCCTTGGTGTCTTTTGTAACATGAAACAAATCATATTGGAGAGAAGACTTATGTATGTAGAGCATGTGGCACAGTCTTTAAATGGCATTCATGTCTTACTGTACATGAGAGAAACATACTGGGGAGAAACATCACAAATGCAGAGAATATAGCAGCATCTTTTATGAGCACTCAGAACTTCCTCAACATCACAGAATTCATACAGTAGTTAAGGTTTATGAGGGTGGAACATGTCACAGTCTTTGAACGCCCTTCAAAGTGTCTTACTGCATGTGAAGGAAGCATTCATTCTGGAGAGAAACCATATAAATGAATTATATGTGCCAAAGCCTTTAATCAGCAATGATGTCTTAGCCAACAAGAGGGAATTCATACTGGGGAGGAACATCACAAACGTAGAGAATGTTGCAAAGCCTTTAACCTGTGCTCAAAATTTACTCAACATTGGAGAATGCATGCTGGAAAGAAACAGTAAAAATGTGAAGAATTTGGCAGAACCTTTAACCATTGTTCAAGCCTCATTCAACATCAAAGAATTTATACTGAAGTATAGCCTTGAAAATGTAAGAATTGTCACAAAGTCTTTAATCCTTACTTACACCTTACTCAGCATCTGATAATTGATATTAGAGACAAGCCTAACAAATATAAAAGATGTGGAAAAACTCTGCCCTGTGTGCAGACCTTACTAAAATTCAGAATTCCTCCTAAAGAGAAACAATACAAAGTAAAGGATGAAAAACCCTTCTTTCAGCATTCACAGCTTATTTGATATGTGAGAATTCACAGTAGCACAAAACCTTACAAAGGAAGATTGTAGGAAACCATATAGCTGGACCAACACCCTCACTGTCTATCAGGAAATATGCACTGGGGTGGAACTCTATGTTCAGAGTAAAAAACGAAAAACTTTTGACAAAATTATATACTTCACAAAAGCCCAGATAATTTATGCCTTAAAGTAACTTAAAGATGTTAAAAATTTAGGAGAGTATGTAATTGAAAATGAATTTTATATTGTCAGAGAATTCAGAGTTAAATGTTAATAGTTTTCAGATATTATTTTAATCAGAATACTTACTACTGAGAATTTTCCAAAGTTTAAAAATGAGATATTTACTTGTTAGTGTGCTTGAATATATCAAGGGGATAGGTGTTTGCATATGGATAATTTCTCAGAATGTATCCTATTTTATATTGACAGTATTTGGGATATTTTGAGAAGGAAATATTAATGTGATTCCACTTTGTCATTCCTTTATGCTGCTGTGTTTTTCTTTCTGGTGGATTTGTGAAATCATGGGGTTGATTCTTGCTGCCTGAAAGATCTGTGAGCTCTAGTCTATAAGGTGGTTTTCACTCATACATATTTTTCCATTAATAATTGAGGATATGATAATTCACAATGTATGAAGAAAATCGAAATGGAGATGCTATTTGTGGTTAACTTAGAGTTTGTTGTATGTCACCATGCAGGGCATATTTTATTGGATTAATGTAAGACATAGGGACAGTATGTATTTTAACTACTTTTTCCAAATAGTCTAAGGAAAATATGATGTCATTTCATTAAAATCCTGATGAATGTTCATCATAGTCATAGATAGAAGCGATGGCATTAGTTGATGTGGTTGTGACAAATAAGTGATGAGGGATATGTGAGAAAGTTTAGACAACTCATCCCTAAATGGGTAAAGTAATTGTCCATCCATATTTGCTAAATTATTAGCCTCTGTTTTGAAAAACAAAGAGAGCCCAGCCATCAGATCATTAAATCACAAGTAGAGAAACACTTCTTAAGTAATTGTAATGTATATTTTTACAAATGGTAACACAATTGGTGTGTCATGCCTTTTTAGTCTATGTGTGAACTTATTATTTTCATTAATAAAGTATAATAAAAATTTTAAAAAACAATTCTTTTTCCTATTGCTTTCCTTGTGAGGTCTTCTATTTCTTTTCAATTTAATGAAATACTTGTTGAAAAACATAGGTAAAAAAATCCTACTTTGTTTTTAATCAACAAAATAATATTAAAAAGTAATTACTTGTTTATTCCAATAAATAAATATATTTTGAGTATGTTAGGATACACTTTATTTTAAATTGGTATCTAGAAATTTTTATTATTTAGCCCAAAACCTGACACTGTAAATGGTATTAATGTGAACACCATCGACTCTTTATATTATAATTAATTTCTTCCTCCAATGCGGTCACATCCTTGGACTTGGAAAAAAATTCATTTCTGAATTAAGAAACTTATTTCATATCAATGGAAAAGATTAGTTGAATTACCTTTCTAGTAAATTACAAAAGCACATGACATTCTCCATTTTTATGCATTCTTTATATTCTTCAGAAATCTGATGGAGTAACTATCAGACAATATAGTTCTCTATGGATAAACTACTAGCAACTATGGGCATTTTCAGTATTGTGTATATAAGCAATATCTTTGAGATTCTGTATCAGAATGTTTGGTTGGTTAAGTATTTAAATAATAGGCATTGTTGCCCGTCTGTCACGGCTCAGTGGTTGAGCATCTACCCGTGAACCAGGAGATCACCTTCCTGGTCAGTCAGGGCTCATGCCGGGGTTGCAGAGCTTGATCCACAGTGGGGGGCTTGCTGTAGGCAGCTGATTTATGACCCTTTCTCTTCTTGGATGTTTCTCTATCTACCCTCCTCTCTCTGAAATCAATAAAAACTTATTTAAAAAAATTAAATAGTAAGCCATTGTCTATGAAATTTGATTTCATGGAAAATTATAGTTTTCATTTTTTTAATCAAAATATATCTTTCTGTGGCTCATCATATGTCTGAAAACTTAACTAGTATTCATTTGTAATGTGTTTTTGTTGCCTCAATTAAGAATCCACAATTATAATATAAATGGAGAGAAAATGCATGGTATGAATGAAACTACTAAAATCTCATTATTTATGTCAAGCATGGATGATGAATCAGTTATAATCATAGTTGAAACTCATAAGCTGTGTCAGATATATACTGAATATATAAGTAGCATATGAGCTATAAACGGAATTCATAAGATGAGCTAAGTTGATAAGCAAGTTTGTTACCTATGAAACCTGTTAGATAAGAAATAAAATTAGAGTCTATATGCTGAATACAGATAGAATGAGTTGGAAGGGCCCATAGGTAGCTAATATTCAAGATATACAAATATACATGATACAACCAGAAGCATTTAGTTTCATGAGATCTTAAATGGGCCACCCATTGGTAACAACCATTATGTTCCTCTCCTGACTCCAGCTGTCACCTGTGCAATAAACTCATGAAATCCACAGCTCTTCTTCAAGTTACAGCTGTGGCTTGCACTCACCAATAGAGCAACCATGTTTTGGTTCCATTCCTTTTGATCCATTAAGCCCCCTTGTTCAAATATCAACTCTGGATTTCATAACCACACCATCAACAGAGAAGGCTGATGTGGCAGAAAGAGCAGAGCACCTGTACACAGAAACATCATGTGACCTGGGATTTAGGTGGCGTGTTTCTACTACCCTGCTTGCACTCTATACTAACTGTGTTAACTTGGTCTGTATTTTTTCTCTTCTTTTCACCGTGCATGATTTAAACATCTTAATGTGATTCCTGTGCCTTTCTGGTCTGTGACTTCTGGAATAAGCTTGCCAGTCAGCACAGTTGGAGGCTAACACAGAATGATGGTAACTTCGAACACAACATCAATAATTTCTTTCAGTCAACAGATAGAAAGCTTCTGTTGGAAAAAGTAAAAGAGAACACAAATGTATTCATATCATTATTATCCAAGAGTGCCTTAACTTTAATTAGTTTTTGGGGGGCAGTTAGCCAATGGATGAGAAGGGAACTGTGGAAAGAACATAAATATGGTGATGTTGGAAGACTGGAGAAAAAGCAGGAGGGGTGACTGATAACTGTATATCCCAGAGAAGACTGTACAGGTGCAGGTTGAAAAAAATCTGGGAGACAGGATTATGTTGAAGCTCATAGCAGGTGATGTGAAGATATCCTGATGCCAAGACTGTAGAGCACATTACTGGATATCTATCAATCCCTCCATCCATTCAACCTAAATATACTTCACATTCCAGGTGAGGAGGTAAACTGTGAGAAGAGATTCAGAGTAGTGCTGCACAATTAATTATGCTTTCATTTGAGATTTTTAAAATAACATTGGGGACTTCATATCTATTTCTACGTACTTTTTCATGTCCTTCTGCCTTTATTCCCTAAGGAATGCCATCCCTTATTATGGCTGTGTGTATGAATTCCAATCCCCACCTTGCCCTTTTGGTATGGAACCATGTGTTCAACTACTGTGTGNCTTGCCCTTTTGGTATGGAACCATGTGTTCAGCTACTGTGTACATATCTTTGTCACCATGCCCCATAAGAATCTAAATCCAAGGTGCCCAAATGCAATACATTATTTGATTATTTCTCAACTTCCATAGTTTCTCCTCCCCTATCCTCTGTCAATACCAACGTCAGTACCTTCATCAGACAAAAGTCATATAGGAGAGTTACTTCTGTCTTATATGACT